AGCAGCCTCTCCGGATATAGTCCAGCGAGGTCTCTTTGTCCTGAAAAGGGAACGAGTGTCAAATGTGCCTCGAAGGTATAACAACTGAGATAAAGGGGCGCGCCATACCTCCGGACTACACCTTTTTTCTGCCCATGGGGCCTTGCGGCCCCTGGTTGGTTTGCCGCTGCAGGTTCGGCCTTCTGCCTCAAAAACCTCCCCTGCAAAGTTCGGTTGCAATCAGGAAATTAAACACGCGTGGACGGACCCCTTTCCGGGGTACAGGGACTTCGGTCTCAGGTACCTGGGGTGTTCGGATTAGCCCGGGGTAATCGACTGTAATGGCCACCAGGGCGTTGTCCTCGATCAATTGATGGAACACTCCATCAATCAGCTCCACAGATATGTCCGGATCCTCTTGAGAGGCCAGATCGAGAGACCGTCCTGAGTCCTCGGGTTGTGGAGGCGGGCTGCTTATGTCCTTAATGGCCCGGCGCAGTTCCTGCGTTGAAGTCATCAGACTAAGTATTTAACAATGGGAACACTAAACGGATGAGCAAGTAAATGCGACCACTCACCCAGCTTGGGGGATTGTGCATAGAGAATCCACCCTGTGGGTTGACGCGGTGAAATTCCTCCTCTTCTCCCTTGTACAAAGTGGACAAGATCTTTAATAGAGCGGCAACTGAATCTGGCCCTTTACGGCCGTAGCGGGTGGCGTCGTCCTCCCCGTTGAAATCCCACATGGGGTGGCTTCTGTACTGAAGCGGCTGCACCCCCCGCATGATGCATTCGGCCATAACTCCGATCATGGTTAGTCCGGAATGGGCTAACAATCTTATTTGGCCCATGAGATAAACGATGTCCCTATCACTTTCCCTTTGAGGGCTCCGTGGACGCCAGCTTAGGCGCTTCTTTAAAGGAGCATTATCAAACTCTGGGAGGCCGATCCGGATAGGATCCGGCAGCGGGACGTCTTCTATATAGAAGCATTCCGAGGGCCAGTCTTCGGACGCCTTCTTTGGGGTTCCGGACAAATATCCGGTCCCGGCGATGCGCCATACTTCGGCTCCGCCCACTTGATACATTGACCCTTTCTTGGAACGAGGCACGAGGCAAAATAGCTCCTTCCATAGTCCGAAATGAGCTTCAATACCCAAGAACAGCTCGCGGAGGGCTACAAAGCCCGCGATATGCAATACTGAGGCAGGCGTGAGATGATGTAGCTGGAGGCCGTAGAACTCCAGCAGCCCCCGGAGAAACGGGTGGATGGGAAATCCGAGCCCCCTTATTAAGTAAGGAAAAAGGCACAGCCGCTCTCCTTTGGATGGATTAGGGGCATTCTCTGCTTGCTCTCCGCCGTTGTAGACGGCAAGACCGGCTCGGACCGGGACCATATAGGCCGGGGGGAGAAATCCCTGGGTCTGAAGCATCACTAGCTCGCTATGTAGAGTAGAACATCTCTCCCAATATCCAGGCTTAGGGCTAGGAGGGCGAGAGGAGGAGTTGCGGCAGCTGGCCATGGTGGAATGGACCTTTGTTGGATGCGCTCTGATGAACACTCGTGGAGAGGAGAAGGTGTGGATTGGATCTAAATCCTCATCCCCTTAAAAAGGGCAACTCATTTACACGGCTAGGGGTGTGAACATAAAAACACTCGGACTTTTCATATTCGATTGACATGTGGAAAACGGCCATTATTGGGCGTAGAAGCCAAGGAGCGCCACATCTACAAGAAACCGGACTTTATTCAAACAGGTAAACGGAACTTGGAGGAGAAACCGCCTTGCAATGCCTAAGACAATCTGCGCGCCGGACTCATCTCATTGAAGCCTGGTTCGGGGGTTACTGAGGGAGTCCTGGATTAGGGGGTGTTCGGATAGCCGAACTATACCTTCAGCCGGACTCCTGGACTATGAAGGTACAAGATTGAAGACTCCGTCCCGTGTCCGGAAGGGATTTTCCTTGGCGTGGAAGGCAAGCTTGGCGATACGGATGTTCAGATCTCCTACCATTGTAACCGACTCTATGTAACCCTAACCCTATCCGGTGTCTATATAAACCGGAGGGTTCTAGTCCATAGGACAACATACACATCAACAATCATACCATAGGCTAGCTTCTAGGGTTTAGCCTCTCTGATCTCGTGGTAGATCAACTCTTGTATTACCCATATCATCAATATTACTCAAGCAGGACGTAGGGTTTTACCTCCATCAAGAGGGCCCGAACCTGGGTAAAACTTCGTGTCCCCTGCCTCCTGTTACCATCCGGCCTAGACGCACAGTTCGGGACCCCCTACACGTGAGGGGGAGTGTTGACGTATAATGTGTTGCCTAGTCTTGTTACCATAAGATCGGTCTTTTGATTGCATTGGCTAGAGCATGCACTTCTACAACGAGGACCAATTGGTGATGACGGAGTAGCGGAGTGTGGGTGTGAGGGGCAAGCAGTGGCGGAGCCAGGAATTTGCTCCTAGGTATTCATTGTAGATTTTTTTTTTGCAATGCAATAGAAAGTGACTAAGCCAGATTTATTTTTGTCAATGCAATAGAAAACAAACTGAAATGTCTGAATGATGCAGATTCTTACATTACAAGAACACAAGAAAAATATCTGATTCATTCTACAATTGCATCAAACAAAGTAGCAATCAGTTGCTAATGCACACATGTACAGCCTGGCAATGAGCAGAGCTCCAAGTGGTCACATTCAATATTTCAATAGCACTTTTGGAGTTTTGGTCATGCCAATATATAATTTCATGGGTTTGTTTTCTTTTGAAAATTTAACAATACACAGTTGCATCTCATGTAGTATGCTTGCTGAAAATTACTCCCCCCATTCCATAATGTAAGACGTTTTTTTGCACTACACTAGTGTTAAAATGCGTCTTACATTATGGGACAGAGGGAGTATGTTCTTATGATAGTTAAACCTCCTGTGCTTAAAGTTGTTTGCATAGTTCATATGTCCGAAAATTTCTAGATGATTACTATGGTTTTCATTTTAATAGTTGGCAGATGGAAAGGATTCATGAACCATCAACATGATGCCAGAATTATCTTGATCTAAGAATACAGTGATTCGTTCTAAATTTCACCAAACAAAGTAGCAATCAGTGGCAGTGGCATGGACAGACATTTTCGTTCTAAATTTCATCAAGAAATATAGTGTTTCGTTCTTATAATTTCATAAAAAAGATTGGGATTCGCTATAAATCATAGGAGAAAATTACGTGGGCCGGAAACTTGCTTGCTGGTCCCGGGTGCCCTGTAGCCCTGGTGGTGTCGTCCGCCGCCGCGTTGTCGCTTCCATCACTGCAGCAGCTAGGTCGGGACAGCCGAGTAGGGGAGAAGCGTACTGATGTCTGGATCATGCTCCTCCCACCGGCCAGTTGAAGGCCGGCCTCCGTCAAGCGTCAGCTAGGTTAGGGAATTGGGAATCAGACGACTGGCTGGTTCGTGTCGTGTGTGGCGTGGACTGGAGTACTGGGCGCAGTCGGGTGACAGGTGGGTTGCTCTCGGGTGCTCTGCCGCTTTGGGCTTTAGATTGTGGCTTGATTAAATGCTTGGGGGATGTATAAGTGTGTATATAAATTATTATTTTTTGCCAAAAACTTGGGTATTCCATGGAAATCCCAGGAATACCCCTGCCGCCGCCACTGGGGGCAAAGTGGAGATTTGATTAGGAGCAGGCGCGGGATGGGGGTAGGCCGGTAGGGCGCGTAACGAGCGAGCGTTCGTGATGCTTGAATGAACAATGTAACAAATGAGACTTTTTTTATGAGGGTGGGTTCGCTCACTCCTGACTGACTGACTGCAGCCCACCCTTGACTACTACTCTATAGCGCCTAGCCCCAACGCTTTCATGCACGGACTCGCCCGTTCCGGCAGGCCACCTATCCATATGAATATGAAAAAAGAAAGACTATTGTCCCATGGACACGCGCTGCACAAAGAGAATACTGGCCATGATGAGTAAAGGAAAAGGGCAACAAAGTTATAAAACCCAAATTATCTAGATGAAAAACCAAGAAGCGAGGAATGGCGATACCCGTCCCTTGGTCCTTCCATCGATGGGGATGACACCATTGCCCTCAGTGCCACACTATCGACCAATACCTTCCTTTCGTCGACTGGGGCGGCGCCATTCCAATATTCATACATGTGCACAGGGTGCATGACAGCATGAGTGCAACACATCTCCATTAAGGGTACATCACTCAAAAACTACAACAGCAGCCATGAAACACCTGCTCTACACACGTCACTTCTACATACTACACAATCACACAATCAAAAGTCAAAGGCAGCAAATCACCATCCTTAAGAGAAGTGTTCTCAAAGATGGAAATGTGGGCCATAATTGTAGCTAATGTGATAAACAAGTGGGTAAGAATGACTGACCAGCAGAACTAAACTTTTGTGATACTGTATCTAGATATTAACATCTTGAAATTCAAAATACCATGCAGGGCTACTTTGTCCTACTATCATGGATGCCGGTGTACTTCAAAACGGTATGTCATCAAAGCTTCTAAAATCATTCTAATGGGTCTGCCTTACAAGTCAGCTATAAGCTGTTCATTCTGGCTATTATCCCAACAGGTATATAATGTCAATTTGAAACAAGCTGCATGGTTCAGCGCCATACCTTGGGGCGTCATGGCTCTATCAGGATATGTTGCGGGAGCTTCTGCAGATTTCATGATCAAATCCGGCTTATCTATGGTGCGAATCCGGAAAATTTTGCAGTCAATTGGTTTTATCGGGCCAGGTGTGTCATTGCTATGTTTAAGATTTGCCCAAACACCATCGGTTGCAGCAGTTATCATGACCGCTGCCTTGGGTTTGATTTCCTGCAGTCAAGCTGGGTACTTTTGTAATGTACAGGTAACTACTGTTCATGTTTCCTCATATCATATCCTGATCATACCATCTCTACTCAGAGTGCCTGTTCTTCTGAATCAGTAGCTCCACTAACAATATGAATGTGTTTCACTATTTTCTTTCCGTCAGGACATTGCCCCAAAATACGCTGGATCCCTACACGGTATGTTCACAAACTTCTTTGATAGCATCAGTAGACAACAAGATCCATATTTCTGCATTGCTGAATTGATTCTTCAGCACTTATATCTGGCATCTCTAAGCTGCTTGAACAGGAATGACGAAGGACATTGGGACAGTGGCCGCCATAGTTAGCACAGTAGGAGCAGGATACTTCGTCCAGTGGCTGGGATCCTTCCAGGCCTTCCTCACCCTAACGGCGGTGCTCTATTTCAGCGCCACCGTCTTCTACAACATCTATGCGACAGGAGACCTGGTTTTTGACTGAGCTGAAAGATACTGTTAATGTCAAATGTACAATTACAGCTTGTAAAATGTCTGTCTGCGCCCACCGCGCAGAGCAAGGAAACAAATAAAATTAAGATTGATTGGTTGGCTCATTCATATAAGACTTAGCGCAACCATGGTGGCTTTGTATCCGTGAAAAAGGTAGGGAATGTGGAGATCTCTTCAACAAAATTATCTCTCTTTTAGTACTCCCTCCGTCTCATAATGTAAGACGTTTTTGCAAGATATGTTAGCTTGTAAAAACATCTTATGTTATGAGACGGAGGTTGTAGTAAGAAAAGGTACCAGCAACTGATAACCATGTCGCCTCTTACATTACTTTCACTCATTTATCCATTCTGGTTACAGAGTTCAGTAGTACTGAACTCTGAACAATCGAACAATGTTTCAGGCTTTATATTTACAGCCGGGCATATTCATGCCGTTTACAACAGTGGCAGCTCTCATTGTTCTACCTTCCCATGCCTTCTCTTAATATACAGAAGTTTCCATGATGCACTTTGTTACCTCAAAACGATCGATGACATTTCATATGACCGAAATCCTAGTCAGGAGTTACTGCTGCTAGGTTTGTTCGAAACTGGAATAACCTATAGACAGAAAAACGGTCTATTAGGAATTGGTACATGAAACTTTGTGCTTGGCTAAATCCACATGCGAGACGAACGGATCAACATAGTGGCCATTCAAGAAATCATGCGCACGGATTTCGCTCTTCAGGAGCTTGAACGGTCGAGCACCCACCTCTTTGCCTCGCACTGGTTCCCTTCTAGTGAGAATGCCGGCCATTCGGGTGGGCATCCTTTTAGGCGTAAAGGATGCCACCTTCGAGGTGGGTAGCATGGACATAGGCGAGTTTTATGTTAGCATGGAGGTCTTCGATAGGATCTCAACTTCAAATGGGAGAATGTCGTAGTCTATGGCCCCGCCGACCACCATCGTTCCGAGGCCTTCCTCGACGAGCTCCTGAGGAAGGTCTCCGCCGCCCAATTACTCGTGGTAGTTGGAGGCGACTTCAACCTTATCGGTTAGGCCGAAGATAAAAGTAATAATCTAGTTACCCTCGGATGCAGATGTTCAACGAATGCATTGCTGATCTCAAAAGATAGGGTTGGTGCCAGGTTCACCTGGACAAACCGTCAGACGGACCCGATGCGGTCCGTCCTGGATCCCGTTCTTGTGTCTCCGGAGTGGGAGCTTTGCTGTTCCCTTGCCTCCCTTCGGACAATCATCAGGATCGGGTCTGACCACGTCCCACTTCTCTTATCTTTGGAGAACGATCGTCCACCCCCACCCCCGCATTTCCGCTTTGAGACCTTCTGGCTTAACCAGGAAGCATTCATCAAGGCCATCCGTGACGGGTGGAGTTGCGGCCTAGGTTGCCCCTCACCGGGCCCTCTCTGCCGTTGACTCCTGGCACTTCTGTGCTAAACGTGCGCGCCAGTTTATGAAGGGATGGGGTGCTAACCTCTGTCGGAATTTGAGGAAATGTAAGGAAGATCTTCTCACCTCCATCCAGACATTAGACCTCCGGGCGGACGCCTCGGGCCTGTCTCCAAACGCATGAATACTTCACTATGATCTTGAGGACCAGCTTACGATAATTTACATAGACGAGAAGGCCTTTTGGCGCTAGCGAGGAACCCAGAGATGGGTCCTCCAAGGGGACGCTAATATGGAGTACTTCCAGGCCATTGCCAACGGCCGAAGACATCATAACACCATCCCTCTCCTTTGGGATGGCAATAACCCCTCCAGCGACCGACTAACATTCACGCTCACGTCGATGGCTTTTATAAAGCCCTCTTCTCCTCCACTCGGGGAGGGGTGGCTCTGGCTCCCAATATCTGGGCCGAGCACCAGTGTGTCTTGGCTGTCGAGAACGCTGCCCTCACGGCTCCTTTTACCGAGGAGGTTCTGTTGGCCATTAAGGGCATAAATCCGGCATTTGCCCCGGGCCCCGATGGCCTCCCGGTTAAGTTCTTCTAGACCTTTTGGAATGCTGTCAAGCATGAAGTCATGGCGCTCTTCGAGGAGTTCTACGTGGGCTCCATAGACATGGCCCGACTCAACTATGGGATCATCACCCTCATCCCCAAGGTGCCTGGGCCTCGAATATCCGCCAGTTCCGCCCGATCATGGTGATCAATGTGATCTTCCGCATTCTGGCGAAGAGGTACGCCAAAAGGGTGACCTCGCTTGTTGACCACATCACCCATCCCTATCAGTCGGCCTTCATCCAAGAGAGATATATTCTGGATGGGGTCTTGGTTTCCCATGAAATCCTTCACGGGGTCCGAGCTAGACCACAGAAGGCGGTATTCCTCAATATTAATTTTCATAAAGCATATGACACAGTGCACGGGCCCTTCCTTCGGGAAGTCTTGCTCCGTAAGGGCTTCGATCACCGTTGGGTCACCCGCGTCATGCAGATGGTCTCCTGCGAGCATACTGCGGTGAACATTAATGGGGAGATCAGCCTCTTCTTCCGCACCTTATGTGGGGTTAGACAAGGCGCCCCCTTATCACCCTTCCTGTTCAATATGGTGGTCGATGCCCTCGCTACCATACTAACAAGGCCAAGAACGAGGGTCATATCCGCAGTGTGGTTCCGCACCTTGTGGAAAGGGGTGGGGTTCCCCCCTGCAATATGCCAATGACACCATTATCATGGTAGAAGACTCCACACGGCTAACATCGCAAATTTGAAATTCCTCATCTGCTTTCAACAGATGTCGGGTCTCACAATCAACTTAGACAAGAGCGAAGTGATGGTTTTTGGCTACTCGCGTGCCGAGCACCATAGCATTGTGATGTCTACTATGCAACTTTATTTTTGTAGACACGTGTTAGGCCTCCAAGCGTAGAGTTTTGTAGGATAGTAGCAATTTTCCCTCAAGTGGATGACCTAAGGTTTATCAATCCGTGAGAGGTGTAGGATGAAGATGGTCTCTCTCAAACGACCCTGCAACCAAATACAAGAAATCTCTTGTTTCCCCAACACACCCAATAAAATGGAAAATTGTATAGGTGCACTAGTTCGGCGAAGAGATGGTGATAAAAGTGTAATATGGATGATAGAAATATTTTTTTTTATAATCTGAATAAATAAAAACAGCAAGGTAGCAAATAGTAAACGGGCACAAAAACGGTATTGCAATGCTTAAAAACAAGGCCTAGGGTCCGTACTTTCACTAGTGCAAGCTTTCAACAGTGGTAACATAGTTGGATCATATGATTATCCCTCGAAGTGCAATAAAGAATCACTTTCGAGTTCCTATTAGCGGAGAATAAAAGATAGAAATTATTTGTAGGGTACGAAACCACCTCAAAGCTATTCTTTCCGTTCGATCTATTCAAGAGTTCGTACTAAAATAATACAAAGCTATTCTTTCCGTTCGATCTATCCTAGAGTTCATACTAAAATAACACCAAAGCAAATTCATATTCATAATAATCAATGCAACAAAAAGAACTACAAGGAGACCCCAAAGTGTCTATCGGAGAAAAGATAATAAAAACGTGCATCAACCCCTATTCATAGATTACCCCAATGTCACTGTGGGAATCCACGAGTTGAATGCCAAAACACATATCAAGTGAATCAATATGATACCCCATTGTCACCTCAAGTATTCATACCGCAAGACATACATCATGTGTTCTCATATCTAAATATTCAATCTGACAAGACAAAACTTCAAAGGGTAAAGATTCAATTCATCACAACAAGGGTATAGAGGGGAGAAACATCATATGATCTGACTATATTAACAAAGCCCATGATATAGATCACGAGAGAGAGAGAGAGAGAAATTGAATACATAGCTACTGGTACAAACTCTCAGGCCCGAGGGTGGACTACTCCCTCCTCATCGTGGCGGCTGCCGGGATGATGAAGATGGCCACCAGAGATGATTCCCCTCTCCGACAGGGTGCCGGAATGGGTCTAGATTGGTTTTCGGTGGCTACGGAGCCTTGCGGCGGCGAAACTTCTGATCTAGGTTAACCCCGAGGGGTTTCGGAATATTTGGGAATTTATAGTGCAAAGAAGGGGTACGGGAGGCCACCGAGGTGGGCACAACCCACCTGGGCGCGCCAGGGGGCCATGGCGCGCCCTGGTGGGTTGTGCCCCCCTCAGGGCACCCCCAGGTGCTGCTCTGGCCCATCGGGAGTCTTCTGGTCCATAAAAAATCCATAAAAAGTTTCTCGGTGTTTGGACTCTGTTTAACATTGATTTTCTGCGATGTAAAAAACAAGCAAAAAACAACAACTGGCACTAGGCACTGGGTCAATAGGTTAGTCCCAAAAATGATAAAAGTTGCTATAAAATGATTGTAAAACATCCAAGAATGATAAAATAATAGCATGAATACTTCATAAATTATAGATACGTTGGAGACGTATCTGCATCCCCAAGCTTAATTCCTACTCGTCCTTGAGTAGGTAAATGATAGAAGAAATAATTTATGAAGTGTGAATGCTAGCAAAGTGCATAAGTTTGATCAATGATAATTTCAATCACTTTTCCTAGCATCATAACAACAAATATTTCTTATAAAACTTCTCATGTTAAAGTGGCTACCAATTCACATGTTAAGGTTCAAACAATGAACTCTCTTGAAAGTCAACAACCTATGTTCTCAGTCACCAAGCAATTGCAATTCAACTTATTCAACAGAGTTTAAGTAAGAGCTCCACATACTCAACCATCATATAGTCTTCTATGATTGATAACACTCACGGCATACACATGAGCAAAATGTTTCAACCGGACACATAGAAAGATAGGGGCTTATAATTTCGCCTCCCAACGTATTCACCTCAAGGGTGATGTCAACAATAATAACTCATGCCACCCATATTCAACTGGAAATATGTGCCTAGATCTTTCCTCACCACATGATGCTTGCCAAAATAAAAAAATAAAAAGGAATAGAGAGAAGAACTTTGACTCTTTGAATAAAAGTAAATACATAA